TGTGAAAAGTCTGCGCATAAGATTCTCATCGACTCCACACATCCACTACACGCTTATCTAACTTCCTGTTGTTCCCGTCCCTCAACTAGATCACAATACCGTTGTGTGCCCTCTAGAATAAACATTTATCCTAACTCCACAGTACCCTCATTAGTACGTATTCTTGTTAACAAAGAAAAGGTATTCATAGACTTTGTTAACAGTTTTAGGATTTAAATATCTTTTTTCATTATTTTTATTTTCTTCCTTGCTCCAAACTGTATATTTTCAACTGAAATGTGGGCTTCAGGTTTGTAGAAGTTATTACAATACAATACAATTATTGAAAAACATGAGCATTGCTATTCGACTGTTCAAGGAGTTTTTAGAATGGTATTCATATTCATTGGTAAAACCTCGAATTCGACCGACTGAGCACACGGTACAAAATGCTGAACAAACCCAGAACAAGAAGTTGCAAGTTTAACCAGTTTGATCGATTGTCAATATCTGCCTACGGAACTTCACACAGCGTGAGGCAGGGAACAGACCAGCAAGCACGGACAAGTGGAAAAAGCAATGTGCGAAGTCTGTGTCATAGGATATTTATCTCACTGCCGAAATCAGCAACCGATATATTTGTGAGAACAGGCAACGAAAACCGAGTGAGCCAAACCGTACAGAGCAGAACAAGCGTTTTAGGTGCCTCCGTGAAAAGCGGCAGGCATGCAACTTTCCCGACGATCAGTCCACGAATGGCCATAAGGAAAAGAAACAATTGATCAACGGTCTGAGACCCAACCGGTTTGGATTTGTAGAACCCTACGACGATAAGTGATGCCTTATTGGATTATCAACGTTTGTGTATCCGCTTATTATTATTATTATTAATAAATCAATAAACGAATAGATGCAGTTGGAGGTAACACAATAGATAGAACAATAGAACAACTGATGCCCAATATCAATTCTGCCCACATATGTCTTCTGTTGTTGATGAAATGGATAAAGGGAAAAGGACGTTTCACATAAGTCAATAAACATTCTCACTTCTATTCCTGTTTACTGAGTATATAAATGTACAAAAAACTTTCAGGATGAGGACCGCGGCCATAGAAAGGCTGCCTGGAGAAATACAGAAAACGGGAAGATAGGAGGCGGTATTCGAACTCCGGATTCCCCCCCCCCCTTGGCCCGCATTCTGATAACCTAAACCGCTTGAGAATCAACGCCCTATTTGCCTACCTAAATCACAATTGGCGATACATCACAGGAGGACAGTAAGTGAAAACAACACAATCAACCGTTAATAACCTAACCTTAGTCTCATCTGTCCAAGGTGCTAGGAACATCCGATTTCAGTCACAGCAGCAGCAACAACAACAGTAAAAAGAGAGAACTCACTTAGCCGGTGGATCGATTGGAGCTGGAAGGGCTTTGACCGTTTTCACGGGAGGGGGTTCCTGCCATTTGTCAAATTTGCGCTCAACTTCAAGCAAAAGTCTCTCCCCGATGTTTCCGTCCTGAATTGAGGTGATACGGAATGGAAAGTCAATGATTCGGGATCTAGTCATCATTCGGGAACAATTTAGTGTGAATGCGACCGACGAAGTTAAGTTATTTGGGGGGAAAACCGGATTGTAGGAATGCGTATCCAAATTGGAAGCAATTAGGTATCGAGGTACAGACAATGCGGGTGAAAATCACACCGTTTGCTTTAGCTTACTACAGTGACGGATAGATTTGCCCCGCCCTATGTGTGGTCCACTTCGCCCAGTTAGGTTGCTGCGTGATCGTATCAAGTTTCCATAAGATAAATCGGCCAAGCCAATGTGAGCAGAACCTTACGACCCCAACGTTAAATATAACTGGTCGGTGAGGGATTACAACTGCTTAAGACACTCAAACACACTGCCCTATTTCCAACTACAGAGAGAGTACTCGAATCGGAAAACCAAACAAGAATTACCTAACCAAACATTTACAGAAGGTTCGAACGTCACTTTTGTCCAACCATTACCAACGGATTGAAAAATGTTTCACATTGAGAAATTGTTGCCCCCTTAACATGCGTCACGTGATCACAGTTATCATAATCTACGGAAACCAAGCACCTGAATAAATGCGCGCCTGTGATTCCCAAGGCTCACCCGGTACACATAGAACAATCAAATCCAAAGAAACGTGCTGTCAGTTATCATTGCTGGATTCCCCAAGTGCAACAAACATATCTGTAAGGGTTGAGTGTATGCTGCAGCACTTCGGCCAGTGCTGCTTTACAGTGCAGAGACTCGAACATGACGAAAACAAGATAAAGATAAGCTGTCGATGTTCGAACACCGTTGGCTACGCCGCATTACACATATCTGGCGGAGAAACCGGACAAGCAATGACGCGGTCGACCAATGGAACAGGTGGTTACCACACATAGATTTGGGCTGTTTCGGACGTGTTGCGCATGTCACCAATTAGATTGCAACGGCCCGCGATGTTAACCGAGGCAGGCAGTGAATGGAAAAATGTCTAGAGAGATCAAACTAAGACTTAGGAGGAGGGTATTAAACACTTGACCAGGAGACCCGGTCATACGGATCGCGTTAGACTCACTGAGTGGGGACCCCGAGATCGGAGTAACCGGTGGTTAGAGAGACTGAGTGATATGGCTTAGTGTCACAAACAGTGGTGCTCGTGCATCTACTCATTAGCCCCGTGAACCCAGTCTATGTAAATCCTTTATCTTCTCTTTGACTTTACTCGCAACATTCCATTCTTCCTTTTGCTTCTTTTGCTCCCAAATAGACGGCAACGCAAACCGCCCCAAGAAGGTGCATCGTTACTGGTTGTAAAAACTGAACTGAACTGAACGAACGTATTTTGCGCGGACAAAGAGCTGCTAGAAAAAATCATCCAACAGGACTTACCGAGGCTTCGTGGAATAAATCCACACGAGCGGCCAGAGCCAATTTGTTGGCTATCAGACGTGCCGCTTTCAAGCGTAAATCCGGCGGGAGCTTTTGCACTGACTCACTATTATAAATGTACCCGGTGTGAGGGAGAACCGAGGTATTACTGAATCCGGACAGGAGACGCTTTTGTGCTCCGAGAACCAAAATATTACACGAGGGCATTTTGGTCAAAGCTGTCAGTCCACCAGCGTGACCTGAGCGAACGTCGAACGTGATGACCATCGGNCATCGGGAAAGGGTTACGGGGGTGAAATACATGGATGATGATGATGATGAAATATGGGCACGTCAAGTTCACGATGCGGTTTCACTTTAGATAGTACTGATGTTGATGGAACGGAATACGGAATGGAACAAAGGAAGCTTATGAGAAATTCGGAGGGGAAAATGAGGCTCAGGGGGGTAAATTGGACACCTCGTAAAACGGTTAAGTTTCGATGTGTCCTTGATATCATATTGACAACATATCCGCCGCTGTCGTAAGACATCCATTACACTAAAAGCCGTGAACTTGAGACAATAATGACCGTACCAAGGGACGTGTGCAGTCAATATATTGTGTAGACAGTGGTCTTGAACTTCCATGATCTACGTAACCGCCACTTTTCGGTATCGGATTGATCGAATGACCGCCGCATATACGTGATCCTCACGTAAAATTGGATTTTTCGGTGACATCTTTATGAATTTGAAAAAATAGCGGTCTAAATACACCATGACGCTTCGTCCAAAACCCATCTATCAGGAGAGTTATGCCTGAGTTAAGGATTTAGCTATTGTCTGTTTTAAGTAAGGACAAGGTTGAGTGAAACTAACTCAAGTATGCACCCGCGCTTTGAACTTTATAGGAGCAATACTCACACTGCAGATGGGCATAACTTTATTTTAAAAAGTTAGTAAAAGTTTGCATCAGCAACAGCTACACGCCAAAATGTTTTGCAAATAAAGAAAGTACAATATGATGAAAAATTTATGGGACACCACGTTCTTCTTTTAGTTCACTTCTTCACCAAGAACCGCTAAACTGTGGAACACTTTAACATTTACAAATATCCGTTGTTTAAACTCAGCACCAACAAATTGTTCTGAACACGTGTATTCCTGGTCACTGTTCCCCACTGCTTGAGGCATATCAGCTGCTGGTATCGCTAAATGTTGCACATGGTTCGTCGTGGCAGCATCATGTAAGTTATAGGGAATTTAGGCGGCGAATCATAGGCCCAGATAACCAGACATTTCTGATGTGGTTAACTGGCCACATTTGGACAGGGTTGGGAAATGTGATGTGATGGGCAAACCACTATTCGGAGAAGTGACACGAGGCGGCTGAAAAAAGTATACTCTCAGTTGGTTCCTCACATCTCTCCGGGAGGAACTCCAAAGAAGTTGAATATTTATCGCCGAAGACTCGAGAGGAAATGGTTGGAAATGAAACTCAGTGATATATTTGAGCACTGGATTGCTACAGTGACCCGCATGATCAGTCATAATTTCCATTGCTGAATGGTCCGCGGCGTTAATCTTTCCTCAAACTCAACCAAATGCAATGAAGTTTTTGTTTTCACTTAGTCTTAGACTACCTATACGTCCGAGTCACCCGTTCTAAACATCTTAGCTAACAACTTCACCGTTGAAATGTGGATGAATGCTTTCTGTCGGTTGACTCACTTATTGGTGTCCAGATAAACCTCACCAATTGAAAGGCAGCACCATCCCGTGCAATTCATGCCGCAGTTTACAATTTCCGTTATGCGTTCTCGCTCTTCAATATCATCACTGACTGTCTATTGAATATCATTTCACTAAATCCCTTTGACTTGTATATATACGCGAAACACAACAGTGATGTTTGCCACTGAAAATTCGTTTCGACCTCTCAACTTGGTTTGCACCCGCCGATCTTCAGTTTCAGTTTCAGTTTTTACAACCATTTACCATGCACTTTCGTGCGCCGGTTTCGGTTGCTGTCTTTTGGTACCCCATTGGGATAAAAGAGCAAAATGAAGATTGGAATGTCGAAGCAAATTCAAGCGGAAGATGGGGAATACATATAGAGTGGTGTTAGGAAAATAACGAGTGGA